AACAACACTTTGAAAGCAGAAATGCCTCTTCATACTCACTTTAATAGGAGACATCTTAGTTTGAAACTGTGCTCCTTCATTCTAGATTCTCCCACAGTGAAAACATCCTCTCAGCACCAACCCTGTCAATCCTCCTCAGAATCTGTTATGTTTTTATAAGATTACCATTCATTCTTCTGAACTCCAAAGTGTAAAGGTCCAATTTGCTTAACATTTCCTCATAAGGCAACCCTTTCATCCAATTGATCAGACTAGTGAACCTTCTCTGAACTATTCCAAGTGCCAGGATATTTGCGCTTCAGTAAGGAGACCAAAACTGTACACAGTATCCAAGTGAAGTCTCACCAAAACACTGAATGATTATAGCAAGACCTCTTTACTTCTTTCAAACACAGAGAATACTGGAGAAACTCAGCAGGTCTGGCAGCATCTGTGGAGAGAGAAACAGTGTTAATGTTTCGTGTCTGGTTATCTCTCTTCTTCACAGCTGTTCTGGCACATGCTGTCTTACAAACAACATTTCATTTTAAGATTAAAAATCAATTGTTCTGGCATAGAATTCACGTTAGAGACATAGGCCTACAGATAAACACATACCATTGGTGGTTGGCAAATAGTACTTCCCAAAGTAAGGAGTAGTGATTACCTTATCAATAACTGTAGTCAAGTGATCGCTGCAGGAAACAGACTGAAATAGTTCAATGCAGAGCAATGAGCAAACTGCACGAGGCAGCATTCGATGTATAGTGATCGGAGAAGTGGCAATTCCAAAAACCAGTACCAGGGGCAGCTGCTGGATGTAGTTACTGCAACAATAGTAAAAACAGAATTAAATGATAACTTCCTCATAAGATGGAACAGATTTATAACTTGTTTAGAAATTACATAATTCATCAATCTAAACAGACCTATAATCCCACAATCTATATTTCAACCGATGGCATTCCCATAAACTTGATTGCAATTTAACCATTTTCCCTTGACATTCAATGGCATTATCATTGCAGAATCCTCCAACAACCTTCTGGAGTTCACCATTGATCAGAGCTTACCTGAACCAGCCGCATAAATGGGTTGGCTTCGATAGGTTGAGAGCTAGGAATTCTGCAGCAAGCAACTCACTTCCTTGTGACCTCTGCAAAACTGAGTCAGGAATGCAATGGAATATTTTCCACTTGTTAGATAGTTGAGGCTCCAAAAACACTCAAGAAGCTTGACAACATCGAAAGCAGCCTGCTTGGTCAGCACCCAATCCACCAACTGAAATATTCACTCCCTTCACCTATGATGCTCAGTAGCAGCAATGTGACTATCTACAAGATGTGTTTCAGTAAACTACCCTTCAGGGGCATCTTTCAAACCAATGACCACTACCATCTACTGTCCTTGTTGTTCTCGATATGTGGGAACGGCACTGCCTGCAAGCTCCCCTCCAAGCCATTCCCTGTCCTGATTTCGAAATATATTGCCGTTCCTTCATTCTCACAGGGTCAGACTCCCTCCCTAACAGAGCAGTGTATCTGTACCAAATGGACTAAGATGGCTGAGCTCTACCTTCTTAATTAAGGTCAGGCAATAAATGCAGACCCAGCCAGTGACACACACATTCCAAGAACAAATTTAATAAAATATTGGAGGTGTCCACTGGACACAAATGCACTTGTTCACACTGAAGAAGTCTGGTATTCACAAAAAGGCTGTGGATGTTGAGCCAACTGAAGTTTTCCTGACAGAGATTGATAGATTTTGTCAGGGAACAGTGTCAAGTGAAATGGAACAAAGGTTGATTAATGAGGTGTATGCACAGATGAGCTATGACCTTACAATGTGAATGAATGGCCTTGTCCTAACATAGAAACATACAAAATAGGAGCAGGAGTAGGCCATTTTACCCTTCGAGCCTGCTCCATGATCCATTACGATCAAGACTGATCATTCAGCTCAATAACCTGTTCCGGCTTTTCTCCCAGATCTTTTGATCCCTGTAACCCTCTGTATTTCATCCAACTTCTTCTTGAAATCATACATGGTTTGACTTTTTGGCTCACTACTCTCAGTCCTAAACGGTTTACCCCATGTCCTTAGACTATAACCCCAGTCCTGATCCAATGCGGCTATTTTGTGTGATAAAGCTGCCTTTTACCCATTCATCAATGTTAGGCATCAATGTAGCAGGCAAGCTGTCCCTGTCCTCGATATTCAATTCCTACCGATATCCAGGAGCAAGAAGATGATCGTGGGTTGAATTTCTCCCATGTGGAGTGCCGTGGCCCCTTCACATAGTTTCTCTCTCTCTTTCTCTCTCTCTCTCTATGCCTTAGTCAGTATACGAAGTTCAGATACTTCCAATTAATAAGTAAACTGTTTATTTATCCAAGTTCACTTGGTCACATCATTGCTTATTCATAAACCATTGTAAACTTCAAGGGCACTTAAGATAGAGGACTTCCTCCCCCTCAAAAATAATATTTTATAGGTTCTCAGTTAGACTAATGCTCAACACAGTAATTTCAGGAGCTTCTCCAATTGATGATAAACAGTAAAATTAGAATAGACTTGTGTGCTCGTCCATTACCTGCAGATGATAATGAAATTCTGCAGAACTTCAGGTAGGAAGCTCTCGAGGTCTTTGAAGATGATGACAATAGGAGGAGCCTGCTCCTGCCTGACAACACATGATTTCCTCTTTTTAGATGGGCTGCCTGAGACAGATGTCTGCATCAGAACAAAGTACATTAAAATTAATCCTATTCAAGAAAACCCTAATGTGTGTGACTACAATAAAAACGGAAAGAACTGCAGATGCTGTAAATCAGAAACAAAAACAGAAGTTGCTGGAAAAGCTCAGAAGGTCTGGCAGCATCTGTGAAGAGAAATCAGCGTTAATGTTTCTGAGGAAGGATCACTGGACCTTAAATGTTAGCTCTGATTTCTCTTCACAGATACTGCCTGACCTGCTGAGCTTTTCCAGCATCTTCTGTTTTTGCCTCTGACTACAAGATAGGTTTTGCTAGTTTTTAAAAAGAAAATCACTGGAAGAACACTAAAATATCGTGTTTCCCCAATTTGGAAAAGACAAATATTTAAAATGTAACGCCACACCACAGAAAGGCAACCATGAATTCCTCAACCTGGCTATGCCATTGTATCAAGTAGACAGAAAAATGTTTTCCACTCAGCAGGACAAATTGGGGAGGTGGTGGCTGAGTGGTAATGTCACTGGACTAGCAACAGAGTTCCAAAGGTTTGAATCGCGCCGGGACAAATGGTGGAGTTGAATTCAATAAAAATCTGCAATCAAAAGCTATCTATTGATGACTGTATAACCATCAACGTAAAAACCCATTTGGTTAACCAATGTTCTGCAGGCAAAGAAACTGCTGTCCTTACCTGATCTGGACTCCAGAGCCACAGGACTGTGGTAGGCTCTTAACTACAGTCTGAAATGGCTAAGCCACTCAGTTCAGGGAATATTAGCGTTGACAATAAATGCTCACGAGTGAATTTTTAAAAAATGAAAGGCAGAAGAACAAGAGGGTAGGTGGTATTGTCTCAGGCTACCCTTGTGGTTCAGGAATGCCTGGCAGCTGGTTAGCTGCAGTCACAGTAATGTGTACTGCCATTTGTACCATCTCAAAGTGTGGGTTATTTCAGAGCAACCTTCCACCTTCCAAAGGAGTAAGAGTCTTTTGGTGTAAAGTAGTTCAATTAAACTCGGCAACTATTTACAGTTTCTAAGAATGGACTCTCCAATATGACGAAGAATATTGGGAGGACTTAGCATTAGGAATATTAGGATCCTACATTACTCTCTCACAAAATCTTTGTAACATTATCACAGTGGGTAGAGTTTATTGAACTCAATCAGGTATCAACCCTTTCAGACCCATCTACAACACATTAACAATACAATGCAAGGTCAGTACAAACAGAGAACTATCAGATACAATTAAAATTAACTTGGAGGATTAATACAAATCACAAATAAGATAGGTATTTACATTGCTCCTTTCACAACCTCAGGATATCCCAAATAATTTTACAACCAGTGAAGTACTTTTGAAGTTGTCACAAACTATGTAAATACAGTGTTGTATAATTTCTAAAGAAAGCTAATTTGATTTTGAATAATAGACACAGCATATAAAATGGCTGCCAGAGGTACAAGCCGGACGCTTGTTGATTCTTTTAAGCCATTCACAAACCAGTCAGGCTGATATACTATCTCAGGTTCAACCATAAAGGGAACTATTTCAAATTAGCTGCATTTGCTGACATAATGCACATGTGCGCTTTAAGTCACACGTGCACAGGTCTCAGGGAACATGGCGGTTGAAGAAGAGATTGGGACTTGGATGGGGGCTGGCGGCTCACCTTCTTGCCTGCCCCCTCCTCCAGCTTCTCACTCCAGGAGCTCTCTCCTCTTCCCACCATTGAAGCACGTGTAGTTTCCCAGTTGTCCGTGCCAACAAACACAGCCTTTCAAATTCTATTATCCCTTTGGACAATACAATGAGTTTTTCAAGGTATGAAAATTCCAAACTTTTGTGACAAACAAACTAAAGGAAGGAACTCTCACAAAGAATTTCAGCATAATTGACTTGCTTTGTGGGAAAAAGATTCAATAAAAGTTAACACTATCACCTTCTTAAGTTTGATCCATATGATGCTGCGAAACTAGGAACTCTCAGGAAGGTTTCCATTAGGAAACACAATCTGACAAAAGAGATTTCAGCTTAAGAGAATGGTTACTTCCTCAGGCAAACCTCAGTTCTACTAAAAGAGCTCAGGCAAATGTATGAGGAACAAGAAGCCATCTCTCTCTCTCAAACTTGCTCAACTTACGGAGTCCACCCGTACAAACCAATGCAGTTGCTGCATCCTTACTTCCAGGGTAGCACTCACAATTCTGCACCAAAATTCCAGCTTGTATTACAAACACATTTCTCTCGAGCAGAGCTTGAATTCCAAACCTCCTGGCTTAATCCCAAGAAGACTACCACGGGGCCAAAGCTGACACCCAGGCCTGATTTTAAAGCAGGGTCCAAGAACTTGGCACCCAGATGAATGCCAGATGATAACCTTGCAATCTAGTTGCATCTCACTCACAATGCCATTTTCAAAGGTAAGTGCCCTGTTTGGCGAGGAGTTAAGCTTAGAGTGCAATTAGAAGGGCCAGGCCCCTCAAGGAGGCAGAAGCTACCACCACGGTGCCTATAGCAAACACAGACAGCAGCCATTGCCCTACTGAAGAGAGCAAGCAGCTCCTTACAGGAATAGCAGTATCCGTAGAGATGCAAGGGAGCCATACAGGTAAATTTACAGAGCAGAGTTACAACTAGCACAAGGAGAGGCCAGTTATAAATATATGGACAGAAAGTGTCTGGTGATCTGGCAGATATGTACCAAACTGCTGGGGCTTGCCAAATTGAGATTTAACTTCTGATAAGACAGGCATGCTCTATTACAAGCTCCTTGCTTACCACAAGGGACTATTAATTAGAAGCCATTTAATTTCCAATTCCCTCTCCTCTGCCAGCCTTTGAAAATACAAAACCACCTCGGAGGTGTTGGAAACCTGTGACAACTTTCTAGAATTCCATTTTACAACTCCCCCCACACCGAGTCCCAAACACATGGCACTTTGAAAATCCAGCTCCATGATTTGGAACATGCATTGCAAGTACAACAGCAATCATGATGGCAGATTAAGAAAAAGGTGAGAATTTTGTGAGAAAGAACAAGTTCGTATTTATACAAGATACCCTCGGGACATTTGAACGGGCTTCACACACAATGAAGCAAATCCATTCTATAGTCACTGCTGTTAAAATGAGAAACGTAGCAACAGCCAACTTGCACATGGTTTGAACCTATGAAAGAAAATGAGTGTTTATTAGTACTTTGGTCGGAATATAAATGTTGGTGAGAATGTTGGGAAAACTGCACTATGCTTCTTCCAACAGTGTCATGGAATCTTTTACAGCCACTTGATAGGGCAGATGACACTTCGAATGAATACCTTATTCAAATTTCAGCACCTCTGGCAGGGCAGCGCTCCCTCATAATATAAACTGATACATGGGTGTACAGCAGTTATGCGCTTAAATGTCTGGAGTGGAGCTGAGACCCTTAATGGTGCAGCTCAGAGATTAACATAAGGCCAAGGTTGTTTTATTTTGCAATGAACCAGCTCCAACTCAAGAGTAACAAATCATGAGTACCATCTGATTCATCACGGCATATCTTTTTTTCTTTCTTCTCAGAGTCATAGATATATTAAGGCACAGAAACAGACCATTCAGTCCAACTTGTGCATGCCAACCAGGTATCCTAAATTAATCTAGTCCCATTTGCCAACATTTCACCCATATCCGTCTAGACCTTTCTTATTCATATACCCATCCAGATGCCCTTTAAATGTTGTAATTGTACCAGCTTGCACCACTTCTTCTGGCAGCTCATTCCATACACGAGCCACCTTCTGCTTGAAAAAGTTGATCCTTAGGTCCCGTTTAAATCTTACCACTCTCACCTTAAACCTACGCCCTCTAGTTTTGGACCCGAAACGTCAGCTTTCCTGCTCCTCTGATGCTGTGTGGCCTGCTGTGTTCATCCAGCTCTACACCTTGTTATCCTTCACCTCCATCCTCTGTCTTCTACCTTCGAGCCAGTTCTGTATCCAATTAGCTAGTTCTCCCTGTATTCCATATGATCCAACCTTGCTAACCGGTCTACCATGAGGAACCATGTCGAACGCCTTATTGATCATGTCCACTGTTCTGCCCTCATCAATCCTCTTCATTACTTCTTCAAAAAACCCAGTCAAGTTAGTGAGACACTATTTCCCTCACACAAACCCATGCTGACTATATCAGTCCTGGACTTTCCAAATACATGTAAATCCTGCCCCTCAGGATTCCCTCCAACAATTTGTCCACCACGGATGTCAGGCTCACCGGTCTATAGTTCCCTGGCTTTTCCTTACCACCTTTCTTAAATAGTGGCACCACATTAGTCAACCTCCAGTCTTACATTGCCTCACCTGTAGCTATAGATGATACAAACATTTCAGCAAAGGGGCCAGCAATCACTTCCCTAGCTTCCCACAGAGTTTTAGGGTACCTGATCAGGTCCTAGAGTTTATCCACCATTATGCATCTTAAGATGTCCAGCATCTCCTTCTCGGAAATATGCACATTTTTCAAGATGTCACTATTTATTTCCCCACATCGCCTTATCTTCCATATCCTTCTCCACTGTAAACACTGATGCAAAATACTTGTTTAATATCTCCCCCACCTCCTGTGGTTTCACATATAGGCAACCTTGCTAATCTTTAAGGGACCCTATTCTCTCCCAGGTTACCCTTTCATCTTTAATCTATCTCTAGAACCCCTATGGATTCTTCTTAACCTTATTTGCCAAAGCTATCTCACGTCCCATTTTTGTCCCCCTGATTTCCCTCTTACATATACTCCTACTGCCAAATAAGAAATTTCTTCATTTTGCAGGTTGAGAATTGTTGGGTGAATTCCAGAGAGCTGTGTATGCTCAGTGTATAAGTAGATTCAAGGCTGAGATTAATTGATTTTTGGGCACAATAGAAATCAAAGAATATGGGAACAAAGTGTAAAAACTCATACCTTGATTTGTCTTTGATATAACAGTGCTGCATTCATTCTGTGAGTTACATTAGTGTTCCCAAACGTTGATAGTTAGGAACAGAAAAATAAAAATTAATAGAATGCAACTCTAACCATTTAGCAAGAATTGGTCACAATCAAATGTTTTAGTTGCAGGATGGCAGTTTGCAACCCCTAAGATTTTATGTAAGAATTCTGTTTAGGACTGAAATACTAACTGGTGAAATGAAAAATGCTCTGATGCTCTTGAAAGTCAAATCATCATTCGTTACTTAGGTGGTACTCATCAGTTTGGAAATATATGTCATGAAAATATCATGTCATAAAATGTCATGATAATCATAATAATGGTGGTTGCTGTCATTTACCTGTGTGATAGCTTTGTACCATCCAGAGAGGGATGCCATAGAGCAGTGTATTTTCCTCTGGGAGAGCTGAGTAGAATGGTGCACGTCCTCCTCTTCTGCCTCTTCATCACTAGCAGTGCCACCCAGGAGGTGCATCAAAACTTTTTGTAAAACATGCTTCACAGCTAATCAGAAAAATAAACAAACATCATGGCAAAATGCCTGACATAGGTAAGACGTTATCTGAAAAGGTTTTGATGGCACATTTGGTTGCATTAGGCGTGTTGTCAAATCAGGAGAATAAATTATCCACCGCCATTTTTCTTTCCTTACGCTATTTTAAATTAATTTGTCTGTACCGAGTGTCAGATGCCACCACAACCAGTGGAACAGCACTGCCTTTTAACACATTTGACAAGTCAAACTATTTCCAGGTCAGGGGCTCACTCTAACAGCTCCATATCGCTGCAAATGTCAAAAGTAGCCCCTTCCTTGCAGTGGCATTTATAAACATACGAACTTTGGGAATGTTTAGACGCTGGAACTGATTAAAAGAACATTTGCATATCAACACTACAACAAATTTGTAAGTACGAATAACTCAATTTTCATCATTCCATCCTTGGGAGGGCCATGCCTGCAGCTGCCTAGGCTCTAAGTTCTGGCATTGCTTCCCTGAACATCTCCATCTCTCTGGCCTCCTTCTTAAAACCTGCCTCTTGTTAAACTGTCCTAATATCTTTCTCTATGTGTTACAAAGTTAAATATCGCCTAAAAGTGCTCCTAGGATGTGTCTTAGGACATGTTTCCCACATTAAAATGTGCTATATGAGGCAGTTGAAAGCAACCAACACTGAAAATGATTCGGTCCTCTAGCTCAAAGGTCTTCATTTACCGCAAAAAGTAGCTGTTTAGTGGATTCTGAACTCACGCAAAATCTAAAATCAAATTACAAAATCCAAAATCCAAAATGGATTTTGTTTTGCATCTATAAACATGAGTCAGGGTGAGGAAGCACACTCAAATGCCAAGTCTGGATTCCAGCACAAAATGGTTTAAAACCTTAAAGGGAACCAAAATACAAGCCTAAACAGGGAATAAAAACATAATCACTGCAGATAAACTAAGATTACACTATTATCAGATTCTCTCACATAGAAATCATGAATTAGGTGTGGCATTAAAGTAGACTTGTCCTTACTTGTACACTCCTTTCCATGCAGACAAACTACATGTGGGGTAAGTGACTGTTTCAGGAGGTCTGATAGTCTTTGAAATGTCATTTCATGGTCTGGAACATTCACACCTGCAGGGTAAGTAGATGAACAAGAGACAAGCTGAAAAATGCACCACACAGAATTGCAGAAAAGTCAGAAGTGTTTCACATGCAGCGATTGACTGCTTTCCTCAAACACACCCCCATCCCAACAATCAAAAAGAGGACCTTACCTTCTCAATTGATCACCAAAACAACCTTATCATTTCAATACATTTTCTTGATTTCATCCCAACATTTCTGTCTTAGGCCTATGATGGTGTTCCACTGAAGACCAATGCAAACTAAAGGAACAGCACCTCATTTTCCACTTAAGCACTTTACAGCCTTCAAATTTCAACATTGAATTCAACAACTTCAGACCATGAACTCAGTTCTCCATTTCGATTAGCCCCTTCCCACCCCAATCCCCACCAAGTCCTATATGCACGGGTTTGCTCTCAGTAGAGTTCACACACTTAACAATTTTCTGCTATTAACACCTACCCTTCACGTATATATCTCTTCTCTACTACAATTAGCAGTTTGCCTTATGTGCTGGGCACCTTTCCATCTGTTCCACATGGTCCTCCTCCACACCCTCCTCTAAAACGGCATAAATATCATCACTTTATTTAGCCTTCCTCAGTTCTGAAGAAGTCATACGAGAGTGTTAACTCTGTTTCTCTCACCACAAATGCTGCCAGACGCGTTCAGTTTCTTCAGTATTCTCTGTTTTCATTCCACCAATCTAGTAGTTGCCACACACTGTCCAGTCTGAGTTACATTGGTAAAACAGTTAGATATGTCCAATCACCTTTATCCACGAGCGTGACCCTGAACTTTCTGTAGTCTGCCCTGAGTCAATCTCCTTATCCCAGTATGCACTCTGCCCTCTCAATCCCTGGTCTTCTTGACAACGAGGGTATAAAGTAGGGTAAGGGATTGGGGAGACAATCAAAGTCCTGTGTTGGACATAAGCCTGGTGAGGAGTTACTGCTGTGCCCTTGGTGTTGGCTTGAATCTTTTTCCCCCATTTTGGACATGACAAACTCATTGTATGCCTACAGCTTTGCAGTGATCATGTCCTATCTCCATTTGCAGGCTGATTTTATTTCTTAATTGTCACCATTTTCTTACTTTATTCCTTTGTGTGTCAGTCATGATCTTAGCCATCTGCATATTTGATTTTCATCCTCTTTCTACACCCTCAATAAGATGATATTTTAACCTCATCAACTAGAGTTTTAGTTGTTTTCCATCTTACCGGTCTTCCCTATTCCTAAACTGTTTGACATTTCAATTTTAAAAGGAGAGCAATGATAGTCTTTTCTTCAAAACACGCTGACTTGTGCAGCTCCAATACTTTCTGGTTCTCATACTCTGTTCCATTGCATCTTTGCTCTAGAGACTGCAGGATTTTAATTCTAGTCTGGAAGCTTTTTAATTTCAGATTTCTGGTTTATTTTCTTCTTCTTTTGTTGAAGTAGCTTTGCCAAAAAATGATACTTTAAAGGAGATTGTCAGTGAATGGAAATTTGATACTTCGTTCCTCTCTGTAAACAGCAGCTGCTATTTCTAAGAATGCAAAGTCTGAACTGATGAGGATATATTTTGATCTTGACTTCTGTCATGCTATGACAGTCACCATGGAAATACAACTTATATGCTATCCTTCACCATTTTGATGGAAAGATAATGTGAATAACAGCACTTCAAACTCATACCTACTTCTTACCTAAAAATGGTCAGTAGATGAGAATGTACCTCCTAGTGATACAGCTTTTCTATATCTCTTTCCTTTTGCTCCGACACACAGGCTGGAGGCATGTGACTGGTGTATGTCAAACCCATCATTAGGACTACGTTAATCAGCCCATTTCTGAGGTGTGATGGTAGCAGTTTGGGGACAGTACACCCCTATAATTGTCTCTCTTTTGTATAAGTTAATAATTTCAGAAAGAATTGTTCAGGCATGGATCTCAAATTGCCCTTTCTGACATTTATTGTAATTGAGGTTATATCTGATCATGGTAAATAAAGATAAACCATTTCCACTGGTTGAAGTTTCTCAAACCAGGCTGCATACTCTAAGAACTAGGGCTATGCCATTCAGGAGAGTTGTTAGAAAGCACTTCTACACACAAAGAGTAGTGGAGGTTTGGAACTCTCTTCATCGAACAGTGGTCAATGCTACCTCAATTGTTAAATTTAAACCTGATAGACAAACTTTTATTAAGCAAGGGTATTAAGGGATATGGGCCCAAGTAGGCATATAGAGTTAGGCCAAAGATCATCAATGATATTGTTAAATGGCGGATCAGGCTTGAGGGGCTAAATGGTCTACCCCTGTTCCTGTGTTCCTCAGACGGAACACTGATTGATTCTGTAGTTTGTCAATCCCCAAGGGTTTAGTGTAAGAATTCTGTTCAGGGTTGAAATACTAACTGGTGCAATGGAAAAATGCTCTTAAAAGTCAGAACCTCATTAGTTTCTTAGGTGGTGTTCATATGTTTGGAAATACATTAATGTATTAATAATCACCAGTATAATGTTGGCTGCTGTCATTTACCTGTGTGATAGCTTCGCATCAGCCAAAGAGGGAGGCCTTGTCTACTGACGTCAGAAATTAATGTACTTACCAAGAACAACTGCTGCTGTGGGAATCTCACTGCACCGCATCCGATAGCTCCAATCATTTTCTTTCAAATCAAGTTGAATGTGGGAATTTTTAATAAATGTTAATAAACTGTCAAATATCTTCTCATTTAAATTGTCTTGCCAACTCTGTAAATTTAAAGAATGTAGTACATTATAAACGCATGTATTTTTAAATTATAAAAAATGTGACACATATAAATATTATACAGAAAATATATGTGAAAATGACAGATTCATCCAAAGAAAAATCCTACAAGAGTGTTCACATCCACGTCTAATAACTGTTATGGGAAATGCTGGAATCTATTATTAAGGATGTTATAGCAAAACACTTGGATAACCTCAACACAATCAAGTAGAATCAACACAGTTTTGTGAAACGGAAAACTGTCTTTGATAACTTATTAGAGGTATTTGAAAAGGTAACAGGCAAATTAGATAAAGGGAATGTCGTAGATGTGACATACTTGGTTTTCCAGAAGGCAAGTAATAAAATTCCACACCAAAGGTTTTCCAAAATAAGAACGAAGAGGTTAACAGAACAGCATCAGTAGAGACAACAAGGTGCAGGGCTGGATGAACACAGCAGGCCAAGCAGCATCATAGGAGCAGAGAGGCTGACGTTTCGGGCCTAGACCCTTCATCAGAAAAGGGGGAGGGGAAGGGGGTTCTGAAATAAATAGGGAGAGAGTGGGAGGCGGATAGAAGATGGATAGAGGAGAGGATAGGTGGAGAGGAAACAAAGAGGTCGAAGAGGCGGGGATGGAACCAGTAAAGGTGAGTGTAGGTGGGGAGTTAGGAAGGGGATAGGTCAGTCCAGGGAGGACGGACAGGTCAAGGGGGCGGGATGAGGTTGGTCGGTAGGAGATGGAGGTGCGGCTTGAGGTGGGAGGAGGGGATAGGTGGGAGGAAGAACAGGTTAGGGAGGCAGGGACGAGCTGGACTGGTTTTGGGATGCGGTAGGGGGAGGGGAGATTTTGAAACTTGTGAAATCCACATTGATACCATTGGGCTGCAGGGTTCCCAAGCGGAATAGGAGTTGCTGTTCCTGCAACCTTCGGGTGGCATCGTTGTGGCACTGCAGGAGGCCCAGGATGGACATGTCGTCTGAGGAATGGGAGGGGGAGTTGAAATGGTTCGCGACTGGGAGGTGCAGTTGGTTATTGCGAACCGAGCATAGGTGTACTGCAAAGCAGTCCCCGAGCCTCCGCTTGGTTTGCCCGATGTAGAGGAGGCCACAACGGGTACAGCGGATGCAGTATACCACATTGGCAGATGTGCAGGTGAACATCTGCTTGATGTGGAAAGTCTTCTTGGGGCCTGGGATGGGGGTGAGGGAGGAGGTATGGGGGCAGGTGTAGCACTTCCTGCGGTTGCAGGGAAAAGTGCCGGGTGTGGTGGAGCTGGAGGGGAGTGTGGAGCAGACAAGGGAGTCACGGAGAGAGTGGTCCCTCCGGAAAGCAGATAAGGGTGGGGAGGGAAAGATGTCTTTGGTGGTGGGGTCGGATTGCAGATGGCGGAAGTGTCGGAGGATGATGCGTTGGATCCGGAGTTTGGTGGGGTGGTACGTGAGGACGAGGGGGATTCTTTTTTGGTTCTTATTGCGTGGACGGGGTGTGAGGGATGAGGTGCGGGAGACGTGGGAGACACGGTTGAGGGCGTTCTCGACCACCGAGTGGGGGAAGTTACGGTCCTTGAAAAACGAGGACAACTGAGATGTACGGGAGTGGAATGCCTCATCCTGGGAGCAGATGCGGCAGATGCAGTAGAGGATTGGTTAGCTAACAGAAAACATAGCATAGATGTCTCCTGTTTCTAATTCATATGTACATCACCCAATGGAGAAACTGCCCCAGCAACAGAAAGCATCTTCAAATTAATGTTCTCAATTAACCTAGCCTGTTAATTTTTTTTCTGACATTTTCTGTTTTTATTTCAGATTCTAGCATCTAGAGTATTTTGCTTTTTGATTACCTTCAAATTATCCTCAGCACATAATGGCTACAATTTCCAATTGGAATTCTCAATCTCTCACTGGAATTTAGGTGTAACACCCAGGAAAATGGATTAGCAGCTATTGGTGAATTTCCCCAGAGCCTGCACTAACCTTACAATGAGGCAACTGGGAGAACTGTGCAGAAATTCTATCCCAGGATTTTACTGCGTGCAACTACATTCAGCATAGCCTGCCAATTAGAACTCTTGATCTTGAAACAGCACACCAAGAGAGGCATAGTCAGACCCTGACAGCAGAATTATGCAATTTTCCTATATGGCACACTGCTATTAGTGTAGAACACTGTAATCCACCTAAGCAAGTCTTCAAGACTATTAGTAACTCATTTATGCAGCCATACAAACAGGGTGTTGGGATAACCCAGCATATATCACCCATATCAAACTGCTCTTGGTACAATTGAATGGCTTGCTAAAACATTTCAGAGGGCAGTTAGGAATTAAACTCATTGCTAGAGATCTGGAGTCACATGCAGGTCAGACTGGATATTGATGACAGATTTCTCTCCCTAAAGAACATTTGTGAATCAGACTGAATGTTATGAAAATCCAGTAGTTGCATGGCCATCATTTCTAGCTATTCCAGTTTTACTGAATTTACCAAATTTAAACTCCTCAGTGATGGAATATGAAATCATGTCTCAGGATTACTAGTCCAATAACATAACCATTTTGGTGTGATATCCCCAAGATTTCAACTCATTGCTTTTATTGGCAAATTCTGATGCTTAATGAATTAATTGTGGACGTATTCAGAACAATTGTGCTGTGTTCTTACATGCCATGAGTCTATCAGCATACAACATTTTTATTCAAAACCCTGGCTGTATGGATTGAGTGAAAATCAGTCAATAAAAGTAACTCCATCTAATCTGTGCATTGAGGCTGGAACAAGAGCCATTTACAAACCTTGTAGCTTTGGGTATTTGAGCATTATAGCAAGGAAAGGCAAGATTTCAGCTTTGCAGTTACCTCAGCAAGCAGGATGCTGAAACACCTCAATCGCATTACGACTTATTGAATAGCGAAGATCTAAGCTATACAGTGCAGGTAAAGCTTAACTGCCTTATGAAATAGCTAAGCAAACCACTCAATTCAAGGGATTTAGGGTTTGGAAACAAATGCCAGTGATGCTCACAATCTATGCAAGAATAAAAGAAGTCACTATTGTTGAATCCGCTCACATTTAACATTCTAGGAGTTAATGCTGACCAGAAACTGAACTGGCCTAGCCATATGAAAATTGTGGCTACAAGAGTAAATCAGAGGCTGGGAATCCTGCAGCTGGTAATTCACCTCCTGACTCCCCCAAGTTTGTCATCCATCAATAATGCACAAATCTGAAGAATGTTGAAATACTCCCCACTTGTCTGGATGTGTGCAGCTGCAGCAACAACTCAAGAAGCTTCTCACCATCTAAGGCAATGCAGCCCTCTTAATTGGAGACTCATCCACCATTTTAGATATTCATTCCCTCCACTTCTGGCAGTGGTGTGTGCCATCTACCAGATCCACTGCAGCAACTCACCAAGGCTGCTTCAACAGCAACTTCCAAACCCAGGTCCTCTATCATCTTGAAGGATAAGGGCATCTGGAAAACCAGCACCTGCAACTCTCACTGCATCCTGAATTGGAACTATATTGTTGTTTCTTCACTGTCACTGGGTCAAAACATGCAACTCCCCTCTAACAGTACTGTAGCTGTACTTACATCTCAAAGACTGCAGGAGTTCAAGGAGGCAGCTCTCCACCACCTTCCCCAAGACAGTTAGGTATGGGTAATAAATGCTGGTATAGTCTGGAGTGCTCATAACCCATAAGTGAACAATAAAAAATAATCTATAAACACAGCGTCAGAGCAGACAGTAGTCTGTAAAATCCTGCAGTCAAGTGACATTAAATTCTATTCCACTGCATTGGATTAGTATGCAGCACACCAGGTCTGGGGACATATCTTCAAACCTCACCATGACAGAATGAAATTTGAATTCAATTAAAAATTTGGAGTAAAAGAAGCTCGGCAAATTGTTGTAAAAACTCAGCTGGTTCACTACTGTGCTTTAAAGGAAGGAAATCTGCCATCCTCACCTGGTCTGCCTACATACAACTACAGGTCCATAGCAATCTGGTTGATTCTCAACTGCTCTCTGGGTAATTAATCAGGCAATAAATGCTGGCTGGACCAGAGACACCTCATCTCATGAACAAATATTAAAACATGCAGCAATGATGCGACTGCAGGTATCATTCCTTATTTTTGACACCAATAAGATCTGACATGACAGGACAGGACAGGACAGGAAGGCTACGCAAAGCATCTGGGTACAAGGTGGCACTATTTAAAGTGCACAGTCCTGCCTTCAGGATCAGTAAGCAGCCTTTAGTGACTAAGCTTGACCTTCCATCTTGCATTCTCTTTTATCCCTGATATTTTACACATATCTGGAGCAGGTGGAATTTGAACCTAGGCTTCATGGTCTAGAAGTAGGCACACTACAATGTGCCACAACAGCCTTACCCCCTTTCTCTCTCCCATTTTTAAGCACCTATACAGGTTTATAAAATCATGAGGGGCATGGATAGGATGAATAGTAAAGGTCTTTTCTCCAAGGTAGATGTCCAAATCTAGAGGGCATAATTTTAAAGTGAGAGGGGAAAAATTTAAAAGGGACCTGAGGGGCAACTTTTTCACACGGAGGGTGGTTCATACATGGAATGAACTCCCAGCGGAAGTGGTAGATGGAGGTACAATTACAATGTTTAAAAGACATTTGGAAAGATACATGAATAGGAAAGGAGGGATTAGACCCAGCGTGGGTCAACTGTGTTCCAGACATTGATCAGGTCCGAGTAAAAGACAGGCAGCATCTTGAGGGAAACGTGAAGACCCTCACAGTCTATGAATAGGAGCTGTACATCATAAATGAGGTCATGCACCCAACGGATAAAATACATCCCTAGGGCATGCCATCTGGGAGAAGGAAATACCATGACTTTAACCTCTATCTCCCTTTATACTAACAGCAAACTTAAACAACCTGCATATAATAAAATCTGTGGAAGTTAGTTGATTAATCTTAACTAAATTAGGTTGGCTGCACATTTAAACTCACTGAACTGAAGTTGCATTTATTTAGGCAGAAACACAGTAATGATCCAGTGAAGTGGAGAATGTTCAAGTGGAAAGTACAATTTTTAAATTTATATAAATCAATTATAAAAGCCTCTTGTTAAATTCACTGCAACCCTAATGCATCATTAAAATCCAAGCCTGACTTCTATAGAAGAGCTTACCTCGGTTTCCTCTTTCATCTGTTGCCATAGTGACTCATAAGTACTAAACCGCAACCTATCACTCTCTGAAATAGCATTGTCTTTATTGAAGAAGTCAGCTGCAATATAGAAAACAGAGTATAGCTTTGGTCAAACTCAACAACAGAGTTCTAATAATTATTATAACTAAGCAATAGGACACAGCTCTGATCAACTGCAAGATTAAAGAAATAAATATTTTGGAATACCTTAAAATCCAATGCAGCCATCTTCTTTTTATTGCCTATTCAGCAGACACTTTCTTTGGTCAACACAAGCAAAAGGTCCACACCGGGTCCTTATTGACATATAATTCCAGCAACAACATATCAAACTCACATTCGTAATCAGCTTCTTTATTTTGCCCCAGAAATGCATGTCATAACTGGAGGCAAGGGATCAGGCAGATGTCCAGGGCTGTGCTGTGAAGTTTGAGGCATGGTCACACAGAGATGATTCAATGTGGCAAACAGTGAAGAGAAGCAAGTCTTCCAACCAGATGAAGAAAGCTGAGCTCAAGCTAAAAGTCATAATATTTGCCAACTCAGAAAATATATGTAACACAGTGAGGGAATTTGGTGTTCATGAAAATCTGGTGAAAGAACAGGAGAAGTAGGAATTCACCCTAAACAGGAAGCCCAAGATTAAAAGTGCCATCAAAACAGGGGCAGCCACTGGCCTGATATTGAGAAGCATGTATTGGAATGGTTTCATCCTCACCAGAAATGCGTTTGTACTCACTTCAGTGGCTAAATCAATCCCTGAGTTCAGCAAAGATTTCAGAGCAACAGCTAACTGGTATAGTCATCAGATTATTCACACAATAAAAAAAATGTTAAATGTCCAATTTGATGGACAGAGAGGAAAGGATTTGTGGTGGAGGGAGGATGCTGAAACAAAAAGCCACATCCAGTATGAGATCTTTCTGATGATGTGAGTTTGCATGTTGTCTGCGTGGGTTTCCTCCGGGTGCTCTGGTTTCCTCCCACAGTCCAAAGGTTGGCCTTCGTGCGAGTGAACCCAAGGAAAGCGACTGGCCCAGATAGAGTCCCCGACCATGCTCTCAGATCCTGTGCGGACCAGCTGGCGGGAGTATTCGCTGACATCTTTAACCTCTCCTTGCTACAATCTCAAGTCCCCTCCTGCTTCAAGAAGACCACCACCATCGCAGTACCAAAGAAAACACATGCAATGTGCCTCAACGATTACCACTTGGTGGCTCTGACCTCCATAATTATTAAGTACTTCGAGAGGTTAGTCATGGCTCACATCAACTCTAGCCTCCCAGTTTGCCTTGATCCCTTGCAATTGGTCTACTGGTGCAACAAGTCCACATCAGACTCCATTTCCCTAGACCTACACTCATCCCTGGACAATTTGGATGATAAGGATACCTACATCAAGCTTCTACTTGTCAACTACAGCTCCACCTTCAACACTATAATCCCAACCAAACTAATCTCCAAACTCCGAGAACTAGGTCTCGCTTCCACCCTGTGAAACTGAATCTTCAGCTTCCTGACCAACAGACTGCAATCAGTGAAGACACACAACAGCACTTCCTCCATGATAATCCTCAACACCCGCACCTTACAAGAATGCACCCTAATATACTCCCTGTACATTCACAACTGTGTGAACAAATTTCGTCTGAACGCCATCTACAAGTTTACTGATGACACCACTGTTGTAGGCTGGATATCAAACAATGATGAGTCAGAATAGCGGTAGGAGATAGAATGCTTGGTGTCGTAGTGCAAAGGTAACAATCTCTCCCTGAATGTCAGCAAAACAAAAGAACTGATCATTGACTTTAGGAAGAAAGGAGGAGGCCACGCCCCTATCTACATCAACGGAGCTGAGATGGAGAGGGTCGAGTGTGTCAAGTTCCTAGGAATGATGATAACCAACAACCTATCCTGGTCCTCCTACATAGATGCAACGATGAAAAAGGCACTACAACACCTTTTCTTCCTCAGAAGACTTAGGAAATTCGACACGTCCATAAGGACCCTCACCAACTTTTACAGATGCACCATAGAAAGCATTCTATCTGGGGCTTGGTATGGCAACTGCTCTGCCCAGGACCACAAAAAACTACAGAAAGTTGTGAACATAGCTCAGTCCATCATACAAGCCAACCTCCCATCCACGAACTCCATCTACACTTCTCATAGCCGCAGAACGCCAGCCAACATCATCAAAGATGCCTTCCACCCCAGTTATATTCTTTTCCAACCTCTTCCGTCAGGCAGAATATAGAGAAGCTTAAACACACATACCAACAGGTTCAAGGACAGCTTCTTCCCTGCTGTTATTAGATGTCTTAATTTGACCTCTCAAATTTCAAATCTAATGTTGATCTTGCTTTTGTGCACCTCCTGGGCAGCCATAACCTTGTATGCCTTGTTCTGTCTAAACTCTGATCTGTATGTCCTTGTATATTATGATCTGCCTGTACTGCATGCAAAACAAAGCTTTTCACTATACTTAAATCAAATCAAATCAAGATGTACAGTTTAGGTGGATTGGCCATGCTAAATTGCTCCACAGTATTCAGGAATGTGCAGGCTAGACGGATTACTCATGGGAAATGCAGGATTATAGGGAATAAGGTTGGGGGAGGATGGGTCTCGGTAGGATGCTCTTCAGAAAGTTTGTGCGGACTCGATGGCCTGAATGGCCTGCTTCTACACTGTAGGGATTCTACGATTCTATGTCATAGCCAAACAGACTCAGAATGAATTCAATGACCCCTTTGCATCAAATTCCAAACATAATGAAATTAGCAGGTTTTAACACTTCAATCTGGTTAAAGGTATCTTTTTACAACTACTTTCTTCATAAGTTTTGCCACATAAACTTAATACAAATTACTGGTATTTTTCCCACAGCATTTCAACATGATAATCATCCACATCAGTGATCACACTTTATACCTGGTGCCTAAGTTGGCTTGAACCCCAACGCCCGTTCTGGAAACACCTTTTGGAGGCTTCAAAGGTTGATTTGTATGTTGTCACTCATCAAGCAGCAACACTTCTATGTAGAATGATGAATGAAAACAGGAATATTTCCTTCAAAAAGCTTCCATATCAGCTGTACCAGTAGGTGGTGCTGTGATAGGTACTATCGACATTAAAGAAATTGCACACGTTTTTACAATTTGAACATATCACCCATAAATTTGTTCTTTTAATCCCTTGCTCAAAATTTTAACTTGAAGTTATCAGTCTCTGCCAAAAGTCTGGATTGATCCGAATTGATTGTTTTTGTTCGGAGTGAGAGTTGAATTTAATTGTGCAGTCTGATTGCATGCCTGGTTACACAGGTACAGCATGTGTAAGACTTTCTGTCTTTACCTGGTGGCAACAGGACAAATTTCCAAAAGAGTTTTCAAACTACAAGTCTCTCTGTACCTTAGAATTTCGTTCTTTCCCCATTTAAGTCATACTCTGCCCTGAAATTCTTCCTGCCAAAGTGAACAAATTTATATGAACTGCCATCTGCCAGATTTTTACTCACTCACTCACCCTATACAAATCAGTCTGCTTCATGTATTCATCACAACATCATTTCCCATCTCTGTAAGTGTCATCTGCAAATTTTGCTAGCATGCCCTTGCTCCCCTCATCTAAATCATAGGGACAAACAGCATGGATGCCATTGATATAAATTGAAAAAAATTGAGGCCCCATTCCAGACCCTTGCGGGATCCCACTCATCACATCCTGTCAATCAAACAAAAGCCGATTTTAAATTTCTGTTTTCTGCCAGCCAGACAATCTTCTATCCACACTAATATATTACCTCTTATCCTGTCAGCTTTTCTTTTCCACAATAACCTTTTGCATGTCAACTTATGAAATGCCTTCTTGAAATCCAAATAAGGTACATTTACAGGCCTTCCTTTATCCATAACCATGTTACTCCTTCATATAGACTCCAATAAATTGGTTAGACATGATTTTCCTATGACGAAACCATGCTGACTCTTCTCAGCAGACAGCTAAAGTATCTTCAATGATGAACTCTAATATTGTCCCCATAACAGATATGAAACTAACTTGCCTTTAGTTACTGGTTTTTCTGCCTTCCTCTCTTCTTGAACAAAGGGGTTAGATTTTCTACTTTTCAGTCTAGTGGACCCTTTCCTGAATAGAGGGATTTTAGAAAACTAATACCAACAGATTTTCTATCCCATTAGCACTCTTGTTTAAGATCTGATCCCACAGACTTGTCAGCCTGAAGCTCAATTAGTTTGTTTCCCTCATGATTGCAATTTTGCTAAGTTCTTCTCTCCCATCCACCTTCTGATTTACAGCTATTACCCAAATATTTTTGTATCCTCCATAGTCAAGACAGAAGCAAACTGTGCTAATTTCAATCTGCTTTAAGCACATTGTATTTTTTTTTATTTTCCTGTATTTTTGGGACTAAAATGTGAAAAGACCTATTTTAAACCCCAAAGACCATGGAAGAAATTGCTGCACATTTTAAAATAAATAAACCTGACACTCATTTTAAGTGCTGTTTATTCAGCCAGGGGTGGGAAATTAGTTGCAGATGAGTTGGCATTAGTGAGTGTGTTCAAAATGGAATTGGCCAGCAACAAGTAGCTGATTGACAATTGGTCATCACTCTATATACCAATGACGATGGCCTCCTTCCTGCCAACACGTATATAATTGTTGTGTGAACAAAAGTCTTCATGACTGCAGAATGGGAGGTTGCTCTGCAGTAAAATAATTCCTAAAGCCTGAAGAATACCAGTTTATATTCCCTTATCAGTTGCTGTTGGATGTTGCTTTTAACCAATAAGCCAGAGACCTTATAAGCTCTGAATCAGTCACTCCGTCTCCTGCAAGCAAAAGTACCTGGAGAATGAAGACCTAGGAGCAGAAAGTCCTGACCAGCCAAAAACATCGCCTCAATGAACCCTGGGGATGGGAACCGTTGAACTGCCGTCCCAGTATTTTCCCTCCGCTAAGAACACCAATTTTTTTTTCATCTGTCTGTAGGTGCATGGAGGGTGTGTTAAATGGAAGTTAGAGTGTTAACTAATATAGTTACATGTCAACAGTTAATAATTATTTACCCAAAACTAGAATCGATTTATTTGCAATAGACAGTAATTATCGTCACATACAAAAATTTGGTCTGTATTTTCTGTTAACCTCAGTCTTGAAATACTGATAAATTGGGGAGCTTCGTGTACATTGATAAAATCTTTCTAAACACTGTTTGAATCCAGGAATAGCAGGACTTGATTTCCAGATGCTATCCCAGTGAGGCATAACATTGTTGTATATTAACTTGTCATTCTCATTCTCTGGAGAACCAACACACAATTTATGTGTTCATTTCCTTTTTAAAAACACACAGAAACACTTGCTATCTGTTTTTCAAATTCCTAGCTGGTTTCCTGTCATACAAATTTCTTCCTCCCCATTAACCTTTTAGTCATTCTCTGCTGTTCTTTATATTCTGACCAATCATTTGAACTGACACTCATCTTTGCACAGTTATATGCTTCTTCCTTAAATTTGATGTTTTCCCTAACGTTGTTCGTTGACCATGGCTGGTGGGTTCTCCCTTTAGGATTTTTCTTTATAGTAGGAATATACTTATTCTGTGTATTTTGAAATATCCGCTACGGTGTCTCTATCTTTCTATCCCTTAGCCTAGGATGCCAGTTCACTTCAGTATGCTCAGGTTTCATACTCTTATAGTTGCTATTATTTCAATATTAATCTTAGTCCCAATTTTCTCCCTTTCAATTTGGATGTAAAATTCAATCATACTGTGGTCATGGGTGCCCACAGGTGACGTCATTAATTAATCCTGTCACAATATGCAAGTCCAAGTCTAATATAACCTGCTCTCCGGTCTCCTGTAAAACACAACATTCTAAGCATTTGATGAACTCCTCATTCAGTAACTACCGATAACATGATTTTTCTAGTTTGTATTAAAGTCTCCCGTCACTATTGCCATCCCTTTATCATAAGCACACAATATTTTGTGAACTCTATCCGACTTTGATTAGTTAGGGACCTGTAGACCACTCATTCAAGTGATTTCTTTCCCTCCTAATCTATTCTACTACAAACTCCTCTCTACCTAGGACCCAACAATTCGCCCCCACCACCATCCAACCCACTGATGGACCCTACATTCCTCCTTCTTCTTTCTGTTCCTAGTCACATTTTTAAGGGCAAAACAAATTATTCAGGTTAATAACACAGATGAGAGAACGGGTTGGGGTTCTCACTTTATAATCAATATTTTCTACATTATAGATTTTTGACTGTTTGCAAGCTAATTTTAAACTGGGAAATGCATGCAGCAAAAACTAGTCTGAATGATCCATTTGTATTAGATAGGTGCACGCCGTTCTGCAGCTGTTTCATTTGAAACGTGCAACAGCAGTTGGTCAGGAAAAGGCAGGAGAGCTAGGCAACACTACAGTTCCCAAAACTTGGTGCAATTGCATTTGTGTTCATCCTCAAAATGCCAGTTTATTGCATCCTATTGAAGACAGATAATTGTTAAGGGGATAGGGGAGAAAATGAAGGAATTAAAACATTTGAGAAAGACAGAGCAGAGAGATAATAGAAATCAAGTATGTAGAACATCATTAAATATAGCAGTGTATTTTGTTTTAAATACAATGCTATTTACTCATTGTTGCAATGGGTACAAACCTGTGACAGATTTCCTTCTCTTTTTGGAGTCTTTTGGCTTGAAAACAAAACAACCCTGTGCGGCAAAAAAAGAAAAAAAAATTCAAGCTTTTCACAGCTATAATCTGTTAAAATTATTAACATGTGTGGAACAGGTCACTAAATCTCAGGCACTATTAATAGAAGAGGAGATGGTTAGTGTTGCAAATGGCTGCCTACATCAGTTTTTTTTTGATTAAATTAATTTGTCTTCTATAGCCAATTGTAATATTCCTACCATCTGAATTTGCTATCATAGCAGTGATCAGCTATTTAACCCATTACATCACAGTTTATATGACTTGGCCACCTACAAAGGAAAACAGCGAGTAATGACTTTAACAAAGAATGCTCAATGATTGAAATTAACTCAATTTAACATTTCGTTCATGACACACTGAAGATCAGAATACACTGAACATAAAATACTAATACAAGCAAAGCAGCAATTTGTTAGTCAGAATGGGCTAGGCATATTAGCAGATATACACGTCAAGTGCTGTTGGAAAAGAGAAAATGGCTACACCAACATTGACCACATGGTTCCAGGCTGTATGTATGGGGTAGGAAGCTGTTGCTAAAATGAACAACTAGTTTGAGCACATTATTTTGACTCAGGTCTTGGATTCTGTAGTGAAATAGTGACTTCTGTTTATAGAAGTGTGCTTAGGAAAATGGTAGCACATAAACTGCTGCCCTAGCCAGGATGTTCTATTAGAACTGACACCGTGACTACTTGACAGAGTGCAAGCTTGCTCGGGTATGTTCTATCCTCAAAAAAGAGGGCAAAAAATTTAACCTTTTCAAATTTCACTGACTTAGCCTCTACACCAATATCAGCAGTGCAACAGAAAGGGTAATCAATAATGCAATCAAGAAACACCAAATCAATAACTTCTCAAAATTCCTTAGGTTCTGCCAGAATCACCTGGTTGCAGATATTACCATAGCCTCGAAACAGACCACCTGCCGTAACTGAATCATGGAGGAAATGGAAGAATTGCTGCCCTCAACATCAGTCAGCAATTAATCCAGAGATCTAGGTAATATTCTCGGAACGTGCCATGGCAGATGGTAGACTTGAATTCAATAATAGTAAGTCTATTGATGATCATGAAGACGTTGCTGATTCTCAGCAAAAGTCCATCTGGTTCACAAATGCCATTTATAGAAGGAAATTTGCCATCTTTATCTGGTCTGGCCTACATGTGACTCTAGACCCACAGCAATGTGGTTGACTCTTAACTGCCCTCTGGGCAATTAGAAATGGACAATAAACGCTGGTTCAGCCAGTGCTGCCCACATCCCATCATAGAATCCCATCAGGTTTGCACTGACCCTCCGAAGAGCATCCCATCCAAACCTAGTCCCCACCCTATCCCTGTAACCCCACATTTCCCATAGCTAATCCACCTAGCCTACAAATCCCTGGACACTACAGGTTAATGAAGAAAAAAATTTTTAAAAATTAAAAAGTATGGTTTAAGAAGATGTAGAAAAACCAGGCCTGGGGCGTGTTGGGGATGAAAACCCCTAAAGTAGTTGGAGTTATACGTTAGGCAAAATAATATAGCCGTGATGATTAAAAGGCGATTCGTGGCATTAGTGCAGGAATTCCTCTGAAAAGTGTTGTCAGCCCTTGGCCTTCCATTTGTGAGGTGGAACTGTTTATTGATGATTGCACAGTTCCATTCACAACTCGTTCTCCAGGATATCCAAGCAATGAACCAAGCAATGCTGTCCTCAGGCCACCTCAACTCATTTCCCTTTTTATTTCTATTTCTTTCTTGAATTGTATTGTCTGATTTTTGAAGATCATAGTTGCAAGCTTCATGCCTACATTCAAACACTTCTTTTAAGCTGAAACCTACATTATACTGAGGCAGTGTCTTTTTTGAGAAGAGTCAGTATTTGAACAAGGATAATCAATTTCTGCTGCTGTATTGGTCAATATTAACACCTCAACTAAAAATTATTAACCACAGATTCTCTAGAGCTTATAATAGTTTCTTCAGTGGGCTTTTTTTGCACAGTGGTAGTGTCCCTATCTCTGAGCCAAGAGGCTTGACTTCAAGTCCTACTTGCTCCAAAGATGTAGATTAACATCTCTGAACAGGCTTATTTGAAAATATCAAAAAGAGTTTCCTGTTCATGTAACCTTTGTTTTGTGACTGGCTGCTGTGTTGGTAAAAGCAATTACTTTGTGTGGAATCGTTTGGAAATCAGAAGAAACAGAAAGATGCTTCATAAGTTTTTTTTAATGGATCTGCAGGTGATTCAATAGACTGATCTCAGCACTGTTGCCTCAAGTCTATGACTCTATAAGAGATCAATAATGCAAAACTAGAACACTGTTAAAATCAACCACTTAGGGTATAAATCAGGAGATGCTTTAAAATTCTCTATATTGTGTGAAAGCTCATTGCATATATCCATGAAGCTTGCAAAAACAAAACATTTGGGGATACTCCTGCACTATACTCTGCTCAATACAATATCAGATCAGTTTGTAAAACACAAAGTAAGATTGCATATGTATTTTTACATTAAAATATTAACTGGCTTCCAACATAAAACAGCTACAGTTGGAGTGCATGCATGGAGGCTTCAATCCATCTGTAGCATTATTGCAGTCCATAATTTCACAAAATCATTACACTACAGGAGGCCATTCAGCCCATCACGATTCTCTAACTGAGCAATTCACTTTGTGCAGGATCATGGGGAGATGGCAGGAAAACAACACGTTCTTCTTTTTCAGATAACACCAATTCTCTAGAATGTTTCAATTGATGCTGGTGCAGCCACACTCTCAGGCAGCACACTGCATCCCCAATACATTCATGGCAATTCCCAGGGCCCATTGACAAGGCTGAGGCAGGTTCAAGCACCTTTAGCCTTGTGCTGAGTGGACAATTCATCTTGGTCTTCGCCTGAGGTCCCACAGGTCGATCTACAGCAGATCTGATTCACTCCACACGGTATCAAGAAACAGCTGAAAATATTAGATACTGCAAAGGCTATGAGCCCTGATATTTTGGCAGTAGTACTGAAGACATGGACTCCAAGAACTAACTGTTTCGGTAGTTAAACTATTTCAGTACAGCTATAACTCTGGCATCTATGCAACAATGTGGAAGATTGCCCAGGTATATCCTATCCACAAGAGGCAGGATAAATCCAATCCAACCAATTACCACCCGGTCACTCAACTCCTGATCATCAACAGCAACACATGTTGACCGTGCTATGAAGTTGTATTTTCTCAGATGGGTTCAGCCCAGGCCAATCCACTCCTATTCTTGTTACAGCCTTAGTCCAAACATGCACAAAAGAGCTGAACTCATCAGGTGAGGGGAGGGTGACGGTCTTTGACATCAAGTTTGAATTGAATCAAGTATAGCGTCAAGGAGCCCTAGCAAAACTGGTGTAATGGGAGTCAGGGGGAAAATTCTCCCCTGGTTGGAGTCATACCTGGCACAAGGGGATGATGGTTGTGGTTATTGGAGGACAATTATCTGAGCTGAAGGACATTTTTGTCAGAGTTACTCAGGATAATGTCCTAGGCTCAACCATCTTCAGCCATTACAATGACTTACTTCCACCATGTCAGAAGCTGGGATGTTCCCCCGAGATTGAAAATTATTCAGCACCGTTTATCACTTCTCAGATACTGAAGCAGTCTATGCCCAAATGCAGAAAGACCAGCACAACATAAAATGCTTGGACTGATAAGTGGCGAGTTATGTTTGCACCACACAAACATTGAGCAAATACATCTCAAACAAGACAGAATACAACCATTGCCCCTTGACATTCAATGGCATTAGAACTGCTGTATCCCCCACTTTAAACATCCAGTGGTTACAATGGACCAGAATCAGAAATGGACCAGCCATAACAATATTGTGGATTTGAGGGCAGTTTAGAAGCTGGGACCTCTGATTCTGCAAAACCTGTCCAACATCCTCAAATCAAGAATGTGATGGAATACTGGCCACTTGCCTGATGAGTGCAGCTCAAACACAATCTGTTTGACACCAAAAAAAAAATTGCTAACGAATGTCTAGCCTGCTCTCCTTGCTTACCAAGCTCTTTCATCTCTCTCTGGTCTCCAGATCCACCTATCCACTCACCTCTCCTCTTCTCTCTCTCCCTCAAATTCAACTTCAACATAAATATCACTTTTCCCTAACTGCTTATTGTTCTGAAGAATCACTGGACTCGAAACATTAACTCTGCTTCCTTCCCACAGATGCTACCAGACTGCTAAGTTTTGACTGCAATTTCTTTTTTAGACCGCTGTGATTGTGTTTGAGCTGCACTCATCAGGCAAGTGGCCAGTATTCCATCACATTCTTGATTTGAGGATGTTGGACAGGTTTTGGACAGTCAGAGGTCCCAGCTTCTAAACTACTCTCGTATCCATAATACTGTTATGGCTGGTCCATTTCTGATTCTGGTCAACGGTTACAGGGGTTCAGAAGTCAGAGGTGGGGAGTTGCTGCTGAAGGTGGTGCTAAAGTTTGTTTCTGTTTCAGATCTCCAGCATCCAGTTAGTTATTTTACTGTTTGATATGATCCAGCACAAAGCATCAGCCTGATTAGCATCCCAACCAACACTTAACTATCATGAGATATCAACAGCTACAACAGATATGTGGTATCTTTAAGACACATTGTAACAACTCAATTAGACAGCACCTTCCAAAACCACAAACTCCAGTAACTAGAAAGACACGGGCAGCAGATTCATGGAAGTACCACCACCACGTTCAAGCTCCCCTTCTGAGTCATGCATCATCCTGAATTGGATGAATATTAAGGCTCTTTCTCTCGATCAAAACCCTGCAGCTCTCTTCCTGTCAACTCTGTGGGTGTACCTAGGTTACAGGGGCTTCAGCAGTTCAAGAAGGCAGTCCAGCTCCATCTTCTCCAGGGTGATTAGGAACGAGGAATAAATGGTGGCCCAACCATCAAAGACCACATTCCCTGTATGAATAAGAAAAAGGTCACCTACTTCATTTCAGTGCCCAAAGCCAAGATGCAGGCGCTGCGCATCCCTGGGTTTGCCTGCACAGTGGGCTGATGTGCTCAACTCGCAACACCTATCAGTATGGGAACAGAAACTCACATCATTGCTCCGTTTACAGAGTCAGGAAACATTCTAAGCAACTCTCAAATCCACAATATTGTTATGGCTGGTCTATTTCTGATTCTGGTCCACGGTAACCCCTGGATGTTTAAAGTGGGGGATTCAGCAATTCTAATGCCATTGAACGTCAAGGAGCAACGATTGTATTCTGTCTTGTTTGAAATGTATTTGCTTGATGTGTGGTGCAAACATAACTTGCCACTTATCAGTCCAAGCACCGGCTATCCCCTAAATACTTCGTCTGATTATCTACAGTCTATTCTCCAGCCTTTTCTCCCCCGTACCCTATACACTTGCACATTGTTAACTGACTGCTTCCACCACTCTTCCGGCTGCAGACATCGGACAATACTCCTCGGCGTTTGGAGCGGCCTAAAGTGAGTAGCCACCTGCCCTGTGAAGTGGAGGGATCTCAGTGAAAGGTGCCTTTACCGTGGATACAGACGAAGTCGCCATTGTCCCCCAAGTCCGTTCACATTCTCTTTCCCAACCGCTGCAGCACTCCACGCGCTCTCAATCACCTCGGCCTGCCGGCCCACAGCCAATCAAAGCGGCCGGGCAGCTGGGGCAGAGCGGCATCGCCATTGGCTGAGACTTGTCCAAACGTCACCGGGGGGTCAGAGGTCGGAAGGCGGGGCGTTGCTGCAGCCAGGCAGTTCCGGAGCGTTTGCAGATGCGAGCAGTCGGATGGATTAGACACGGTCAGACTGGGAGTTGAGTGCGCATTCCTGAGTGTTAGTGCCCGGGCAGATGATGGTATGGCTTGTCTTTTCCGAAGGTCTATAGCAGCGCAGGTACGTAGCAGCAGGTAGTGTTCTTCAGATAATGCAGAGGATCCATACTGCGTGACCTTCAGTTGCTGTTTGCTTGCTGTGGTGTTCCTTTGGGGCAGCATGTTTTAATTACCCCAGCTTTGATGGTTTTCTAATAACGCTGTATGAAAGGCATTTTCGAAATTGTTTGAGAATTGGAGAAGCTGTATGCTTTCTACGAAATGTAGATTGATGGGAGCTAAAGATGTTACTTTTAAGCTTGTTATTTTTTTAAAAAAGTGAAGTGAATGTTTCCAGGTTGGAAGTGATGTTCTTATAATCAGTGGTTTATGATATTTCATTTGATTAAATGTATGTTTTTTTTTATTCATTCATGGGATGAGGGCATCGCCGGCTAGGCCAGCATTTATTTCCCACCCCTAATTACCCAAAGGGCAATTAAGGGTCAACCATATTATTGTGGGTTTGGGGTCACACGTAGGCCAGACCAGGTAAGAATGGTATATGCCTTCCCTAAAGGATGTTAGTGAACCAGATAGGTTTTTCCAACAATCGACAACGGTTGTCATTAGACTCTTAATTCCAGATATTTATTGAATTCAAATTCCACCATCTGCCATGGTTGGAATTCAAACCCAGGCCCCTAGAGCATTACCTGGGTTTCTGGATTAACAGTCCAGTAATAATACCACAATGTCACTACCTCCCCTGATCAGTTAATTTCCATTAATTAGCATGAACAGTAAAATAAAGAGGCAGTTGACACAGTCATTTCAATTCCAGCTGTATGAAGTGCTAAAATGTTTTTTATTTAAACTACAGTTAACAAGGTAAGTTAGATGCACATCTTTCTCCATCTGAAGTTCTGTCTGAGTCTTTGAAATTGTGGCTAGATGCTGTTGAGAAATTCTTCATTCCAATTAAGCAAAACTATATCCTATAATCCAGGCTGAAGCTTCAGCGTAGCATCCTGAAGTTCTGCATCATTGAAGATGAAATTTTTGGCATGAAATTTAGACTACAGCTATGTCTGCCTCTTCATATCAATATAATAGATCCTGTGGCATTAGTGAAGAAGTGCTTGGAGTTGCCCTGTAGACCTGGCACCATCAACTACCCTGCTACCAAACCAATGTTTGGTTGGCCAAAAAAAAGTACAACAGGTATTTGAAATCTGAAATGACAACAGAAAATTCTTGAAGCATTCTGCAGTATTTGTTAAAGAATGAAGATAGGGTTAATGTGGAAGGCCATTGATTCTTAAATCAGATTGCTGACAAAGTAGTTTACTTGAAACATTAAGCCTATCTTTGTCTTTTCATAAATGCTGTCTGACCTGAGAGTGTTTTTAAATAAAAACAATGATGCTTTTGAAACACTTGGGGATACTCTGTCAATGTGAGGATATCTCTGCAGACTGCTTCATCAAGGACCTCCTCTCCATCAAAGGTCAGAAGTGAGGAGCATTCACTGACTGCACAATGGTCAGCATAATTTGTGACTCAAATACTGAAGCAGTCAATGTCCCAATGCAGTAAGACCTGGACCATATCCAGGCTTGGGCTGAAAAGTGGTAAGTGTGCAACACAACTGCCATGTCCAATAAGAAAATATGTAACTATTGCCCCTTGACATTCAATAGTGTTACCATCACGCAGTGCTGACTCTCAACATCCTGAGACTGAAAACTAGTGTGGACTAGCCATATAAATACAGTGGTTATGAGAGCAGGTCAGAGACTAGGAACCTTGCAACGAGTAACTCACCTCATGACTCCCAAAAGTATGTCTATCATCTACAATGCACAAGTCAGGAGTGTGATGAAGTATCCCCACTTTTACGAATGAGTGCATTTCCAACAGCACTCAAAAAAAACTGACACAATCCAGGACAAAATAGCTCACTTGACTCATACCACATCTACCAACATCCATTCCTTCCATCGTAGGTGCTCAATTGTAACCATTTGCAAGATGCACTGCAGAAATTCACTAATGCTCCTTAGAAAGCATCTTCCAAACCCATGACCACTTCCACCTGGAAGGACAAGGACAGTAAATACATGGGAATGCCACCACCCGCAAACCACTCACCATCCTGACTTGGAAACCTATTGCTGTATCTTCAGTATTGCCAGGTTGAAATACTGAAATTCCCTCCCTAACAGCATTGTGGGTCGACATATAGCATATGAACTGTAGTTGTTCGAGGCGGCAGCTCCTATCATCTTCAAGGGAAGTAGGGCCAGCGACACCCAGAACCCACGAGTGAAATTTTAGAAAAAAGGGTGAAGTGCTACATAGCGTTCTTTAAGAAAACATGTATTAATGTTAGCATCTATGGTTTACTACTTAAAGCATTTCAACTAAACTTAAAATAATAGGATTAGCAAAGCTTTTAATAGAATTATTGTAGACATTTACAGCACAGAAGGAAAGCCATTTGGCTCATTGTGTCCTGGTCACCCAACAAGTGCCCATTCAGCTTGATTCCACTTCCCAGTCCTTGCTCTATTGCCTTTCAGGTTACACCCCTTCAAGTACTAGTCCAAGTACTTTGTTAATGCTTCATAGGCATTTCCCTCTACTGCCCTTTCAGACTGAGAGTTCTGGATTCCCTCCACTCTCCAGATGAAAATGTTTCACTTGAATCCTTTATGAGCATCTCAATCCTCTATGAACCTTTTGGACCTAAGTCTGTCTCTCCTCATTAATGACCTCTTAACCAAGAGGAGTAGTGATTTCATGTTCAGTCTTTCTAGAGTCCTGCATAATTTTATACAGTTCGATTAGGTCACCCCTCAGCCTACAATATTCAAAATATGAGCTCTAGCTTATGCAATCATTCCTTAACAAATAAAATTCTCACTTCAGAAATATTCTTGTAAATGTCCTCTGTACCCTGTCTAAAGCAAGCTCATCTTTCCTATTGTGCAGTGACTAGAACTGCACATAGTACTCCAGCTGTGGCCAAGCTTGTGTTTTACACATTTGCAGCATACCTCAGTGCTGGTAAGTGCCTTGCCTAATAAAAACAATGTTTCTGTACGTTTCCTTTTACTGTCTTAACTACCTTCACAGGACCTTCAGGGATCTGTGAAACCACATATCAAATTGCCTCTGTTCCTGCACGCTTAGAGTCATAGAGATATACAGCATGGAAACAGACCTTTTGGTCCAACTCATCCACGCCAACCAGATATCCTAAACAAATCAAGTCCCATTTGCCAGCATTAGGCCCATATCCGTCTACACCCTTCCTATTCATATACCCGCCCAGATGCCTTTTAAATGTTGTAATTGTACCAGCCTCCACTACTACTTCTGGCAGCTCGTTACATACATACACACACCACCCTCTGGGTGGGGAGAAAAGTTGCCCCTTGGGTACCTTTTAAATCTTTCCCCTCTCACCTTCAACCTATGCCCTCTAGTTTTGGATTCCTCCACCCTGGGGAAAAGATCTTGTCTATTTATCTTATCCATGCCCCTCCTGATTTTATAAACCTTTACCTCTAACGCTCGAGAGAAAATAGCCCAAGTGAATTCAGACTCTCCCTATAGCCCAAACCCTCCAACCCTGGCAGCATCCTTGTAAATCTTTTCTGAACCCTTTCAAGTTTCACTACATCTTTCCTACAGTAGGGAGACCAGAACTGCACACAGTATTCCAATAGTGGCCTAACCAATGCCCTGTACAGCTGCAACATGACCCCCCAACTCCTTTACTCAATGCACTGACTAATAAAGGCAAGCATACCAAATGCCGCCTTCACTATCCAATTACCCGTGACTGCACTTTCAAGGAACTATGAACCTGCACTCCAAGGTCTTTTTGTTCAGCAAAATTTCCCAGGACCGTACAATTGAGTCTATAACTCCTGCTCTGATTTGCCTTTCCAAAATGCAGCGCCTCACATTTTATCTAAATTAAACTCCATCTGCCACTCCTCAGCCCATTGGCCCATCTGATCGAGATCCTGTTGTACTCTGAAGTAGCCTTTGCTGTCCACTACACCTCCAATTTTGGTATCATCTGCAGACTTACTAACCAAACCTCTTATGTTCATATCCAAATGATTCATATAAGTGATGAAAAGCAGTGGACCTGGTATTGATCCTTGTGGCACAGCGCTGGTCACAGTCCTCCAGTCTGAAAAGCAACCCTTCACCTCCACCCTCTGTCTTCTGACTTTGAGCCAGTTATGTATTCGAATAGCTACTTCTGCCTGTATTCCGTGCGATCCAACCTTGCTAACCAGTCTACCATGAGGAACCTTGTCGAATGCCTTACCGAATTCTGTATTGATCATGTACACCGCTCTGTCCTCATGAATCCTCTTTGGTGTTTCTTGAAGAAATAACATCAAGTTTGAGAGACACAATTTCCCACCCACAAAGCCATGTTGACTATCCCATAATCAGTCCTTGCCTTTCCAAATACCTGTAAATCCTGCCCTTCAGAACTCCCTCCAACAACGTGCCCACCACCGATGTCAGGTTCACTGGCCTCTCGTTCCCTGGCTTTTCCTTACCACTTTTATTAAACTGTAGCACCACATTGCCAACCTCCAGTCTTCCAGCACCTCACCTGGGGCTATTGATGATACAAATATCTCAGCAAGGGGCCCAGCAATCACTTCCCTAACTTCCCACGGTGTTCTAGGTTACACCTGATCCAGTCCCGGGGGGGGGGGTTTATCCACCTTTATGCGGTTTAAGACATCCAGCAGCACCACCACCTCTGTAATGTGGACAATTTTCATTTATGTTGCTAATTATTTCTCCACATTCTCTATCTTCCATATCCTTCTC